AATTTTATTTGAATGTCTCCATTTTGCACAGCCTAAAGCCAAGAGCATTTCCTGATCCAGAAGCAAACCAAGATGCCACCCAGTGTGGATAACCCAGCAGGCAGACAAAGCATATGTTCAGGACATTAGCAATGCAGGGGTAGCTCACATTTCTTTTGTTGAAAAGGGGAAAAAAAAAAAACAAACCCCAGATTTTTCATATCTCAGAAAAAGTCTCAAAATAGTCGTGGAGAAAGCAGATCCTTATTGGGTTTCTTATACTTGTTTTCTGACTTAGTGTTATTTTGATGTGAATTCCTATTCAAGATTGGGGGGGGGGTGGAGCCCCAACATCTATTCACTGTACGGAAACTTTAAAGGGCTTCCTGGGATGGGATTTCATCCTTGACCCATACTGGTCATAAGGTGATACAGCCATTATCTCTACCCCTGACACTTTGGGTAATCTTTTAGAGATTGATACTGTATTATACTAGTATTGATAATCTACATGAATTTTCAGTTCTCTCCCGCTGCAAACCCATCCAGCACATTAATGGGCACACAGACTCACTGTCTCTTGGAAATCACAGTGAGTCCAAAGGTTGGGGTTCTGATGGATTATCTGCTCCTGGGCTTATCTTCCTGAGAGCTCCTGTTGTGCTCCTTATTAGGTTTTGCCATTGGGCAAGTTACAATGAAATGAAGTTCAGATCCATCCAATTTTTAAAGATCCAATTTAAAAAGTACCTTAGAGTATCTTTATCTTTTCTAGTTTCATCCTGTGGCATGGCAATTCCATGGGCAGAACCCAGTGGACATTTCCTGTCTACATGATTTAGATCATTCCTTCTGGAACCAGATACCTTCCCAGTAGACACAGCTTTGAAAAATTAGTGAGTTGCTCAGTTGAGGAGACAAAATTAATACTAAAATTACAAGGATCAGAACAAAGCAATAAGAACTTCCTTTAGGGCTCAGGGCTCAGAGAGGGGGTGTAAGGCGATAAGTGTTCTTATGGTGTAGTTTTAGGATACACCTTTTGCCTCATGTCCCACACTGGCCAGTTCTTTAATGGGAGTATGAACACAGAGTCGGTTCTACTCTCCAAGATGAAAAGTAGATTTTATTGTTATCAAATTATTTCTGCATTTGTTTGATTCTAAGATGCACCATTTTTTTCAAATTTTCACATGATTTTTGAAGTCAGGAGGCATATCAAAATCATCATCAGCCTGGTCACAGTGGTGATGGGGCTCTCAGCACTATGCACACGGGTATTACAGTGTCCAGAATGGGTGCCAGCTACTGCAAAGGAAGTCCTGGAGGCAATAAGACTGACACTTGTTTGTTTGTTTTTTAATTTTTGTTAATTTTTGAGAGACAGAGTGTGAGCAGGAGAGGGGCAGAGGAAGAGGGAGACACAGAATCCGAAGCAGGCTCCAGGCTCCGAGCTGTCAGCACAGAACCCGACACGGGGCTTGAACCCACGAACTGTGAGATCGTGACTTGAGCTGCAGTCGGACGCTCAACCGACTGAGCCACGCAGGCGCCCCTTCATCACCCACACTTGTAAGGACACAGAACATGATGTTGGTGGAAAATATGGACGTTGATGACAATGGGTAGGAAATAAAACAGAAACCACAGCTTGCAAAACCATAGTGACTGGCAAAGCAGACAAACTATACAGACCGTGATAGGCACAGCAAACCAAGTTGAAAGTGTTTTTTTTTTTAAATTTTTTTTTTAACGTTTATTTATTTTTGAGACAGAGAGAGACAGAGCATGAACAGGGGAGGGGCAGAGAGAGAAGGAGACACAGAATCCGAAACTGGCTCCGGGCTCCAAGCTGTCAGCACAGAGCCCGACGCGGGGCTCGAACTCACGGACCGTGAGATCATGACCTGAGCCGAAGTCGGACGCCTAACCGACCAAGCCACCCAGGCGCCCCAAGTTGAAAGTGTTTTAACATCAGCTTGTTCTGACCCATTCGCGCCTGGCTAAGATCACTGGCTTCCAGCGACTCCTCTCATTACAAATTCTGACCTGTTCTCACCCAACCCTCACTATCTTCTGCCCCAACCCACCTTATGACTACTGAAGACTTCCCTGAGCCCCACAAGTACCCTCCCCTGACTCCTCTTTTGAAAACACTGCTAAGACGCTATCAAGCTGGTGCGTTCTCTTGCTCAGCAAGTTTAATAAACCCAGTTTTGTGTGATCAGCAGTGTTCCACGGTGGTCTTGGTACAGAGCTCTGGTAATTCAAAAAGAGATTCAGTAGAATCAGGCCCTAATGCTGAGAAGTTTGAGGAATACATTCAAGCATTTCTTTAACTTACATTTCCCTTTTGACATATGTACAAGAATGATCTACGATAAAATATGTATCTAATAAGTTTAGAAGAACTTTTGACACAGTATAAAATGAAGGACTGCAAGAAAGTATTGTGTTACCTACTTGTGTATTGACATCAATGTTCCTTTCTTTTTTTTTTTATTTTTAAAAAAAAAATTTTTCTTTTAAACGTTTATTTATTTTTGAGACAGAGAGAGACAGAGCATGAACGGGGGAGGGTCAGAGAGAGGGAGACACAGAATCTGAAACAGGCTCCAGGCTCTGAGCTGTCAGCACAGAGCCCGACGCGGGGCTCGAACTCACGGACCGCGAGATCATGACCTGAGCCGAAGTCGGCCGCTTAACAGACTGAGCCACCCAGGCGCCCCAATGTTCCTTTCTTAGTGGCACATGAAATAATGGTTTATTTGTACAAGGGATGGCATTTTGCATTTGATAAAATACGGTAATAATAGCTAGCTAACTTATACTGGACATTTCTCATGAGCCAAGCACCGTGCTGAGTGCTTTACCTGCACTCATTTAATTCTTACAGCATTGCTAAGAGGTAGGTCACATGATTACCCACATTTTCTAGATATATAAACTGAGGTGCGGAGACAGTCCGTGGCTGCCTTGAAATACATGGCTAATATCTGGGGGAGGAGTTAGGGCTCAGGTCCAGGCAATGTGCCTCTGCTGGGCTAGCATAGGAGGGGAGAAATGGGGCACGCAGCACTATTTTCTCGAAAGTGGCAGAAAGCATTAATTAGAATGATAGTACTTGCACACGGCATGTACTAAATTTTGGGATTTGGGCTTTTAAGGGTAATCCATTAGCCGGTTCTTTGGTGCTTCTGGAAGTAAAATTGTTTCCCTTGGGTATTTAAGAAAAGGTGCATTCAGAACCTAAAATATTTGCCAGTTTATTTCTCCTAGAAAAGAGAGTTCCTCGGTGTTCAAAGCCATATATCAGGGTTAAAAAACAAGCAACCAAATAAAAACAAACCCAGCACTGGGGTCATCCATTTAAGTCACTGCTTGACAGCTGTTCTGGGAATGGCTGTTGCCACGGGTTACTACGGAGCACTCAGCATTTCAGCCTTACCCATCACTTCCAGGCTGTGCTCCTGTCTCTCCGGAGAGACGACCCTTCCTTCTTTTCCCCACCCCACCCCCACCTTGGCGGCTCATATTAAAGATTGTTTTTTTTCCTTTGAACAAGAAATGAAATAATAATATGCTGAAAATTCCCTAGCTGTTGCCTAGGGTATTCTCTGCCTTTGATGCTTTTGTTGCCCCGTTTTTCCTTGTAGATCACAGCATCAGCACCGCTTTTTCTAGAAACCTCAAAACAGGGTTCCAACCTGCTGCCTTCTGCGGGTGGAGCCACAATCAGGCATTGTCCATCAGTGAATGAACCAACCTAGATGTCCCTCAATTAATAAGTTCTTAATTGGATTCTTCAGATAGTTGGCCATGGCGGTGTGTTTTCAGGACTTTTGTTGTCTTTGTTCTTCTTCTCCTTTTTTTTTTTTTTCCCCTTTTAAACATTCTCCTCTTATCCCGTCAGCGCATTCACATATCCTTTTGACCAAGAGATTTGACCAAGATGCACCGATTTTCCTTCTGCCACCTACTTCCCATTCTTTCATTCTTTTCACACTGAAGGGTTCAGAAATCCATTAAAATGCCGGTTCATCCCTACCTTTTTCTGTTTTGCGAAAGGGGGCGGGGGCGCTTAGGGCAGCACGTCTTACTTAGGTAGTGCTATTCACTGGAAGCAGGCACGCAAAATACCAACCTTACATATAATCTACTAGGCTCATTGTATTCAACGTTCATGGTCACTAACGCCTTCAAAATCGTGAAGCTGTATGTGTCCTCTATTACACTTACAAAAAAGGTAATTTGTGGAAAGTGCTTTGAGATTCTTATAAGAAATTTAGGATATTAACGTTCCCTTGTTTCGGGTATTGGATAATGTTTAAGAACCGTAGCTTCCACCAATGCTTTGAGTCAAACCAAGGCTCATTAAATATGCGGTTGGCTTCTCTGACATTGTAGAAAAAGGAATTTGCTACCCGTTACACTTTTTTTCCTTGCCTTTTCTTCCTATCACCTGCTCCCCCACCATTACTTTCTAGTCAACACATGCCCCTTTTCTATGGTTTGCTTATAGATTATTAAGAAAAAAGATGTAAACTCACAGGGAGGATTAAGGTAGACACAGCTGGTGTCAACGAAAACAGAGAGAAATGAAAGAGTATTGAGCCCGGCTGAATGGACAGCCCATGGGGCTTTCTCGTGACTCATCCTTGACCTTTACCCTCCCAAATCGCGCCTGAGGCAAGTAAACAGCTTTTCAAAGCAGACTACCTTCTGGGACACTTCGTACATTTTCATTTTAATCTCGTTGCAAAGTGGTCAAAAATAAATGTCCCCATGAAGAGAGGTACTACTGACAAAAGTTGAATTTAAAATGACATGGAATCACTCTGTTACCCATCACACAGAGGGTCCTAAACTGCTTAGCGGTTTATTCCAAATGAAAAGGAAAGGAAACCATCTTCAATGAGCGTTTTAAACATCTCTGTACGATTCAAAATGGTTACATGGGCCTTTGAAAATATTGCCTGGAGGCATTATGGGTAATTTAAGTTTTTCTTTGTATTTTCCAGATTATCTATCTATAACGAGCAGGCATTACTTCTGTCATCCACAAAAAGACTTTCAACAGAAATGGCATTACAGTACAGATTTTTAAAATATGAAAATGCCACCCAATGAGTTATTTTTATAAATGACTGGAATAAAGAAAACTATTTAATAATGTAGACAAAGTGTCATATGCCTAAGAAATCTTTGTCTGATATAAAAGGTGAGTTAAAGATGGGCTGGAATGTTCTTAGTAACCAGGTAAATATTATACCCAAAATTAAACAACTACTCTCCCTTTGTATATCACTCAGCCCGAAGACAAAAGAGGAAATGTTTCCACCACAACGGTCATCAGATACACTTAGCTGTGTGAAAAGAAACATAAGACCCCACATCATTTAACTTGTAAAATCTCAGTCAATACTTGACAACAAATGGGGTGATGTGTGGATAGAGGTCTGCAATCATCACCCCCACCCCACCCCACCCCCGCCATCTCATTTCCCGTGATTTTTTTCCACTTTATGTAATGTCCTAATGTGTTAAATACTGAAAATGTGGGTAAGGTAGTTTAATTAGTCCTCAGTGTCAATACAGAGAGATTAAGAAAACAGTCCTGTTTTCATGTTGTAGGAAAATGACTTCTAACAATCACCGTATCCAGTGAAGGGAAAACATACCCAAACAAAACAATAAAACTTAACTTCAGGTAAAGCAAACTGTTGAGAAATCGAATAGAGAAATGTGCTCCACGTGCTCGTTACACTAAATCCTAAACATCCAGCTTTTTACAGACTCGCAAATCAAATCGCTTTACGGTTAGGGGAGCGTTTAATACAGTGTGACCAGTTTAAAGTTAACATTTTGTATTCAGGATGATTAATGACACCATATTGTATTTCAATTACTACAAGATACTTCTCTGTAATAAACGATGGCAATAATATTCACATTAAGTCAATAAAAAGCATCTTCAAAGTGTGATGTATAAGTGCCATTATTATAGTATAAGTTGATCACATCATACAATGAATTATCAACAGTGTAACAGGAAATCTCTATACCAGAGCATATATTTGCATCTCAGTGCACAGGGAGTTTGGTGGCGAACCCTCATTAGGATTAATAGTAGTCAAATGAAAGCATTCACACACACTAGCAAGGGGACTATTCCTTCTTCCCCCAGCCTTCCTATACTCCATTCTCTGCCAACTGCATTGTTGCGGGTTCAAGGATGAGAAACCAACTTCTCAGAGCATTCAAGGCCAAAGGGAAATAGATGCAGCAAATGACTTAATGATTTATGTGGTAGAAAACCAATAGTTGGGGAAAACAAGTCCCAAACAGTAGGTGTTTCTTTTCCTAAAGGATCTGTCCACTTTAGGGAGAAATTTGCACATGCACCGGGAAACTTGGAGAAGCCTCTGAATGATAAATCCCCTCAGGGGTCACGTCTTTTTAAATTGCTCTGACTAGTGCCTGGTTGTAGAAGTGAGGTCATAGATGAGATGGCCCAGGAAGCTCAGGAAAGCAGGCTTAGGGGAGAGGGTAGGGTAAATGGATATTTTCTGCCCCCTCTGTCTGCCCTCCTGTCCTTCCCCAACATGGTTTCAGCTGAGTTGGTCATTCTGAGGGGAGGCATCATTAGGATAGTATAGGGAGGGGGCCAAGGCCATTGATCTGACTCCACAGCACTTCTAATTTGGAGCGGCACCCTGTCTAGAGGGATGGTTGCAGGAGGAAGTGAGAATCAGACGAGGGAACAAGGCACAAATGTGCGGGGATAGTGATACTTGTCGGTAAAGCTGTCTCCTGCGTGCCTGGATAGACATGTAATTGTCTGGTTGCACTTCCATAATTGTTATGCACGAATATGATCTGCATACTAAAGAGAGGACAGCATGATCGCCTTGTCTTCTTGGACCATTAAAAAAAATTAGTTTTTTAAACAAAATTCTCTCTTGCAGGCCTCATGGTACCATAAGTCCAGGTAATTGCTGGTGATGTTGCAGAGTCAAATGAGTTTTTAAATAACTTTAGATATAATCCCTAAAATTAGTCGTTAGAAAAAAATGGAGTAACTGGCATGAATGATAAGTATCAGAGTAAGAGGACCTGTTTACTCAACTGTAACCCAAAGTCATCGAGGAAGAATTCATCTTAAGATAGAAACCTTTCGGAGCAGTGGGCAAGGCCCATAAAGCAGCGATATGAGATGAACACAGACTCCAGAGTATAGTTAAATTAGATCAACATCAAATGAAAATTTTCTTGGGAAACCTGGATTCACTGCATACAAATGGCTTTGCCATGTGACTCCCTTTATAGTCAGAAAAAGGAGGATTCCTACATATGTCCAAATCCTGTACCTACCTATAGCTGTGGTTTGCAAGCTGTGAGCGGGTTACAAGATTACTATGAGAATATTGTTAACTTCTGGGGGCCTCAGTTTCCTCTTTTTGCAGCAGAGTTGACGCTCATCGTCCAAGACCCAATCTTCCGGGTATGTGAAGGTCCTCACTTACTCCGTAACTTCACATTCCCTAAGTGCTCTTTTTGTCCACTGTGTCGTTTGTCATTCTGAAAGCCCCCAAATTTGAAAAAAGCAAAAAAAAAAAAACAAAAAAAAAAAAACCACGAAAAAACAAAACACAAAAGTTGTTTTGTTTGTGTATAAATTGGTGTCAAGATCCATATGGTGGCAAAGCCAGACCCTGGACTGACATGAGGTTATTTACTGGCTCCATTGAATCCCGTTTACTGTGTTTTGCTGCAGAAATAGTAATGCATTATAATTAATTTAATTGCCATATCTAAAACCAAAAATTCTGAATTCCAGGACGCGTCTAGGGCTCAGGGGTTCAGACCAGGGGACTGCAGGTTTGTAGAATGATGGTGAAGATGACAGTCCCAACACTTTTGCTTCTCATTAGCTAGCTTCTTTGTCCTGGTTATGATAACTGGTTCTCGGTTTTTGGCATCTTTATCTCCCAAAGACCCCCCCCTGGATTGTTCCTTTGCTGTCACGGTGACACAGTTTCTGGGAATAACCTACCACCGCTTTCTCCTGGTTCCTGGTACGGCTCTGCACATCCCTGGTTTTGATTTGGCTCCCCCTCTGGTGCTCTGGGCCAACTGTCAGTGGCTTTTGGGAATGAGAAATTTGGCTTTATACTTGTCAAATGGATCAGGACAAAGATTTTGTTGTTCAGTTTGGCTGGAAAAAAAACAGATGGCTTGCTTAATAAGGATGGAAGAAAGACATGGGTGAGGACAATTCATCACCTTATAAAATAGAATCCATTCACACACGGGTACTTTCTTTCTTTTTTTTTTTTTAATTTTTTTTTTTAACGTTTATTTATTTTTGAGATAGAGAGAGACCAAGCATGAACGGGAGAGGGTCAGAGAGAGGGAGACACAGAATCTGAAACAGGCTCCAGGCTCTGAGCTGTCAGCACAGAGCCCGACGCGGGGCTTGAACTCACGGACTGCAAGGTTGTGACCTGAGCCGAAGTCGACCGCTTAACCGACTGAGCCACCCAGGCGCCCCGGTACTTTATCTCTTATTCGTTATGATTCATTGTATACAAAAAAGGCTCCATTCAAACAACACGCTTTGTGGTATGAGTTCTATTATCAAAAACAAGAGTATTACGGGAGGCCCATGGATGTTGTCTAGGATGGGGTTCCCTCCTTCTGCTCCCTCAACATGTGAGGTGGGTTATGGCTCCTTGGTCTCTGCTTCATGAGATGAAGACATCTATCCGTTGACATATGGCCATAACCCAGGGAACATTTTTCCTGTCTCCAGGGACCTGCCTCAGACACCTGGGGGAAGAACCCTCCTCTGCCTCGAAGAAGGGGCCTCTTCCTAAAATATTCACTGGTGGCTTCACCTCAGCTGCTACCAAGCAAGCATTGAGGATTCTGAAATCTTCTCAGGCCTTTCTGGGTCCAAGCTTAAATGTTTAAAGTCATTTTCTTCCAAATGCCATCACCCTAAGGTGCCATGCAAGATGTAGGTATTTTGAATTGCGTCCCAAAGAAATTAGTTACTAAAGAATCAGAAGGCTTTCTTCTTTGGCATTTGGCAGTTCTTTGACCACCCGTAAGGTGGTCCCTGAGCTTGGAACCGAAAGACATTCTCATTTAATTACACAAATAGGCCATAAATACACAAAAGAAGGAGGTCAAGCTTGACAATATGTATTTTACAACATAAATGACATAGGAAATGGGTGTCATCTACAGGGTTTGGTGGAGAAAGGAGACTCGTTTGGGTTAAGTATCAAGAAGACATTTATGGAGGATGCTGGGGTTAAACTAGGCCTTAACATTTGTGTACGTTTGAATGATGGGCTGGAGGTGAAGGGGAAATGAATGATAGGACCCATAAACAGTAATGAAATGGGGCTGAATGGGAAAGTAACTTCGGTTCTGGTGGTAAAAGCCCTTGAATGAGAGACCAAGGTGTTTGGTATTTGTCTTATATGCCGGGGATCTAGCTTCAGTTTTGGAACAGAAGATGCCATTTTGCTGCTTTCTATTAGAAAGAGAAACTTGAAATAGGTGTATAGAGTGAAATAAAGGGGGAAGACATTGGTTATGCAAAACAGTTAAAAAGTAACATAAGCATTTTGCACACAGTATCTTGATTTTTATAACAACCCTACAGATAGTTACTTCTTGTTATCTCTACTTTTCAGATGAGGCTTGGAAATGTTAAGTAACTGGTCCAAGGGCACACCGCTAGCAGGTAGCTGGTCCAGAATTTGCACTTGGATTTGTTGGTCTCCAGAGTTGAATTCTTATCTACTCTCCGATAAACCAATGAGTACGGTAATTCATCTGTGAAGTTATGATGACCTCCATTGAAGTGATAGCAGTGGGGATGGAAATGAAGGTTGGGGGGTGAGAGATAATGTAAAGGAAGCATTCACAGACCTAGAGCCTACATGTGAGGGGCAAAGTGGGGAAAGGCAGAGATTTGGTTTCATTGCTTTAAGCCTGGATGTTTAGGAGAATTATGGTAATACTGGTTGAGAAAGGAAGTTGGGAGGAAGCCTTGGCTTGGAGAGACAGATTATGAATTATTAACAAAGCTACATTCAACACTGGCCTCCAGTTCTTTCTTTTTCTATCTTCCTCCTCTATCTTATCCCCTCGATCTCTCCTCTTTATTGCAAGCATCTACGGAAGACCGTAGGAGGCTCGTTTTAGTCTTATGCTGAGTCCTTAAGATAAGGCTTATATAATGTGTGAGAGGGTGGGGTGGGGGCAGGGGGAGAAAGGGGAAATTAGTATTTAATGAGGATCCTCCATAGAACTTATTCTCCATCCTCAGGATTTATTGTAAGTAGATTTCACTGTAAAAATACTATTATACTTACTTTGCACTATTCTCTCAGTAATGGCACTGGGCCCACAGTGCA